AGATTGTTATTACATATATTTTTTCTGTTGCATTTGATGCAACAGAATGTGTTAAGAAGAAACTTTAATCACGAATTCTGTGATAAATTTGAAATAATATTTTTTTCACCAGTTTCACAAGTATTTACAGATTGATACAAACTACAAGTCAGTTATTTTAAAGATTTTTATTTGTATGAGTTAATATGTATACGATGCTATTCTATAATAGCGTTAACGATTGTGGCAGTAAGTATAGGTTTTGTAAAAATATCTTTCAAACTATCCTGTAATAAATTTCTTGCGGAATAGGTGCGACAGTATGCGCATGAGAGCTATAACAAAATTAATAGGAATAAATTAATTTAATAATTATATAGAAATGTAAGAAAAAGGATGATTGATTGTGCACATATTTTAATGTTAAACATAAAAAATGTTTAATTTTTTTAAATTAAGGACTTAGATTAAAATTAATCAAATCAGAATGTATTTATTTATATAACAAAATTGTGTCTTTTTACACAAAATTTAGCAAAACTTTTTCTTGACAAATAATCGTAACGTTTGTTTTCGTACATACAAGCTCACGCTTTCGTACATTCGTCCCACTTATTAATAAATTAATGCGAATTAGTTAATAAATAATTAATTGCTGTCTTGTAATATCATAAAACTGTACAAATTTATCCAGATAAAATGTGCCTGTTAGAGCAGATATTTTTATGCACAATTTACAATGCAAATAGTAAACTTAAAACTCGTTTTAACAGGCTGCAACTGCGACAATTCTCTTTTTCCCTCCTTAGTTAAGATATTTTCACACGATATTACGCATCTAAACCACGTTGACCCACTTGAAGGGTTAATTTCGGTCAGGGTAACGCTCGTGCATTACACTCTTGTGGATAATCAACTCTCGTTAACGGCGGGAAGTTCTCATGTGAGAAATGTTGTGTGTTGCGAGATGTAATGTGGAAAGTATTTTCGATTAATGAGCTACAATGGTGTTAGGAAATTTGAAAATAATTTTGTGATTAATTGTATTTTAACGAAGTCACCAATTTCACAAATATTTGTAGATTGATGCAAGCTACAAGTCCAGCTATTTTAAAGATTTTTATTTGTATTATTTAATATGTATACGGCGCTATTCTATAATATTAGCGTTAACGATCGTGGCAATATAGGTTTTGTAAAAATATCTTTCAAAATATCCTGTAATAAATTTCTTGCGGAACAGGTGCGGCAGTATGCGCACGAGAGCTATAACAAAATCAATAGGAATAAATTAATTTAATAATTATATATTTAGAAATGTAAGAAAATATACAATTTTACGTTGTACGCCAGCAA